GTAACAACCACGTCACACCAAAAACAAAAGGCCTTAAGAACTGCACACACTGATTGTATCATGTTCATCGATGTGTATCTTTAATGCCATCATTGGAAGCAGTTTTCAGTTTAAATGAGTACTGTACCACTATCAGTGGAAAGACAGGCTCTGTGTTATCAAGTGTGGGTCTGTGATCTCAGTGAACCCACTCACGATGTGCCCGGGAGTCCTGAGGTTATTTTAACTTGGTCGACTCATCCCATTGTGAAGTCAGAGGGTTGATCAGTAAAGTGTCACCTACAGTGTGTAAATCAGAAGCTCTGTGTTGACATCTTTGTGGTTCTCAGTGGAGCCGATGTCTCTATGTTTAGCTAACCTCCTCAGATTGATCCGTCTGTTCTGGGCACACGTCAGACTGTCAGAAGAACCTCACGTTCTCCTGTTGATGTGTTTGAATCAGGCATAAGTTTATGGCTCACTGTCAAAATGTACAAAGCCTTTTCCCCATGAACCATAGTTCGGTCAAAATGCTCGTTTTACACTGTTGGGTCACAGGTTTGATCCTCATGGATGTGATGAAGGATGTTGCTTCTTCTTTTCCATATCTAACAAGGGAAGAGACAACAGGAGTGCATAAGGCATGACATGTTGCAGCAAAGTGATGTGTGCTCTCTAAATAAAGGGACCTCCAGTCTGTGTACTGTCCTGAAAACTGATCTAAGAACAGCCAGATCATAACGTGTGACTTTTGTTTAAACAAACTCTGCTTGTGTGAGCTGTGTCGCACTAATCTGCCCGGCCAGTGAACATTATTGAACAGAAGTCACAGACACACCTACTCATGGTTTTTGTTATTTGTTTGCAACACAGTGAATTAAGTCAGAATTTATAAACATTTATACAAAGATGACACAGCTGGGCAGATGTGTGGTGCAGCCTGCTGTACTGTGCTGATGAACAGCTTCAACAAACACTAAAGAAGTCTTACAGGGACGTCCACGCGGTCTTTAGGTGCTCAGGTTTGAACGTAAACACCAGGGTGAGTGGACTGTGTCACACTGATACACTACACTGCATTCAGCACTCTGTCACCTCAAACCTGAATAGTAAACAGAACAGTTCTTCTAAACGTCTTGATGCATCTCAATCATCCAGGAAAATAAATCTCCAAAAGTTGATTCTGTTCATCTGGACGTTTTCTGGGAGAATTTGCATAATAATTTGCCTTAATCATAATTTGCATATTTATGATGAAGGAACTGACCTCCCAGCCCATTGTTCCCTCAGTGGGCTGGTTTCAGTCATTATGCAAATGT